TTTCAATGTCTTGCCGTGCTTTCTGCGTTTAAGCCAGTCTCGCACACTGCTAGATGTTCTACGAGAAAACCAAAGGGAGATGAATCGACGCATGGCAAATCAGCACTGTTCTTTACCAGAAATTCTTTCCCGGGCAGGACACGATCCAAAGGGGTTCTTTAACACCTGCTTGACGGTCCAATCTGCCCATCAAGCCTGCAATGCCGACCAGCACAGCCAAGACGGGATCAAGGTAAAGGTGCTGGAGGTTCATGACCCGACAGAGGTAAGCGTTCCCTCTTGCCGCTCCCTTCCACGCTAATGCCTTGTCAGTATGATATCTGCATTGCAGTGATGGTGTCACCATCGCATATCGAGATCGATTTCCGTTATTGGACTTCATTCTGCAGTGGAGAGCGAGCAACAGAGATTCTGACACTGCTCTCTAGCTATGCGACTCGGATGGCTCTCCACGGAGATGATAAAATCGAACCACTTGAGATGAAGGCAATCCGGCTTGCGGATGGATGCAATGGCTCGGCCGGTCATGTTGCAGCTGAGACAGGGTCGGTCACGCTGCTCAGTCAATAACGTCCTCCAGGAGAAGCGGGTCAGACGTTATATCTGTCGACACAAGGAGCCGCCGATTTGACTCAGCGCCTCGCTGCCTGGAGCTTCTCTGCATATAATTTGCATGGAGCCTGGCTTCTCTTGAGAACAATAATGTAATCTCCCGTTCGGTTCGTCTGCTCGAAGCCGTCGTCGCTTGCCGAGAACGGGCCATGATAGGATTATATATCTTCGATCAGTCGCATTGGACTTTACTCGGTATACATGAATAGAAACTTGTATGAGTTACGATATAAAATATACCATAGAGTGTGCGAAACAGGGCTTGCCGTCCGCTCAGCCGTACTTTAGCCACACGCCTGAATGCCATCTCTCTGTATCCATGGTCTATGGGGTGAGAGCCATCCGCGAGCTGATCGAATTTGATAAATTGGCTCATCTCTGCCAACACGATCCGGTCGCCATCTGCACGACGCTGGGCGGCAAGGTAACTAATTTATGGATACGAGAATAGACCATCGGGTACTTACTCAAGTTTTCTTGTATATCACCACTGCGCAGGCTGGGAGTTATCCGGGACGCGCTTCTCGTTGAATGACTTCGAGAAAACTTGACGGAAGAGAGCCGACAGGCTTGTTGATGTGACGAATAGAGGGTGGGCTTTGTATTGCTTTGGCAAATGAGCGACTGTGTGAGTTTGCTCAATGTACCAGCATCGGGAAATTTGGCGAAGTAGTCGTCGTTGACAGTCACTTTCGGCTGCTTGAGGTAGAACTGGCTTGAGAAGCACCATGCTATTGGTGGTTTAGAGGTACCTAAGCCATGCTCTCGGATTTTAGATCCAGGCTTTCTGAAAACTCGGCCGCCCTTAAGGTCCGTTTGACAGAACTTGACAAGAAACTGCGTGCCTATGGAGGACAAAAACCCGAATGGACTGGTGGGAAGAACATCAACCTGGAACATTCAAGAGTGTTATGAATTGAGGCTCGATCAAGACACAGTAGAGCTTCGTATACGGAATTTAGTCCGTATGACTCAAATCTAATTCCAATCAATTTGATACTCATCTTGTATATAAACCCTCATGTTTTCAGATATGAAGAACAACAATTGATCTTCCTCAAAAAACCACAACAAAAATGGCCGAGAGGCTAACCCCCACTGTTGTGTGTAATGATCATCAGGAAAGTAAGTTATAGACCGTAAACACTGATGAAGCAGGCACAACAGCTGATTGAGCCTGTAAAGATTCCCTGGCACAACCAGAAGTGTCTATCTAGAACGGTATCAATGAGAGAACAAGTCATGGGTAAACCGAGTGGATTCAGTCCTCAAAGTAAGGAAGGAAGGTACAGTAATCCTCTACAGGGTCTTATAATTTCGGAACTCCTGCAACCCAACTTGACTCCTGGACCAGGCTTCACTCTCCACAGTACCAGGGGGAACTGGGAAGAAAATCGAAACTTGAATTGGAGGTCCTGATGTGTCCACAGCTGGCCGCAGTGAATGTATCAATGGACCCTCTGCAAGGCACGCAGCAATATGCTCGATGAGAGTTGTTGTTGTATTATGATCCCTTCGTTCAACCGCTCCAAGTCGTGCTGATATGAAGGCCCCCGTAATGAGGAGAGGGTCCAGATTAGTCGGGCATCTGCGCTCGCGACTAATGTAGGTCGAAATACTTTGAAGATCTTCCCGACTAGGATGCAATCCCCCACCATAAGGTCTCTGTACGAGGTCGCTGTCAGAGCGGTACCTTCTGATGGTGGCATGATGGTCACTCTCTGGGGGATGAGGCCTCCCCTTACGAGCTGTACAAGATGATCCCAAGAGTTTCCCTTGTTACTTCGTAAATTCCTCAAAGAGGCCCTCGAAGATGGGGACCGGATGTGGTTTCCTGACACCCTATTATGCTTCGCCATAGAGTATGCTTTCCAATCTCGCACTCTCCTTTCGATAGCCGCGAAGGCCTCACTCGTAGGAGGCTGGCTCATGCCAATCTCTTCACATGCCGAGTCGGTGTTCAACACTTCAGTAGAATGGTGTAATTTGCGTCCATCGTCAAGACATGCCTTGATACTAATGTAGACTTCAGGCGATCCGATATTCAACGTCAGCTGTATCAATTGGCTGGTTCTCCGAACCCCAAGAGTAGTGGCACTGAGCTAAACGAATTTATCCTTTACCCTTGTTCCAAACCCGTGTCGGATACCAAATGCCAGCCAAAAGCCTTCGTAGTCTGACGGCGGGGCCATCTGTACTAACGTAACCATGCCAGGGCAACTTGTAGTGAACTCCGCACCGAGCAAGAGGGAACGTGTGTGAGCCGCTTCTATGTCAGTGAGTATATAGTAGAGGATGGTCGATCGGTAATCCGACGGCATTGGGGCCAACTCCTTACACCCTCGGCGAAGCTGTAGATACCATAGGAGCGACAAATATGGATCACCGGGCGAATGCGGCACTGCTTTCGCAAAACTCTTCCAAGTTGGAGAGGGCATTCCATCTAATCAGAGGCTGATTCATCAAGGCCGCAACATCCCCGCAACATGTACAACTGTCATCGTGAATAAGCGGGCGCAAAAGTGATCGACTATAATGGATGATCGTGGCCTCGTGCCGTCGCTCTTCTATCAAAGACCAATCCGCGTCATCGTCAACAACCAGAGCACGGGTCTGAACGTGATTCAGTGAGCCCAAGTCCTGTCGCCTGAGTATCGAAAGTTGAGATGACGGGGATAAGTGGGCCAATTTCGCTACGTAACAATTGACCAGTTCAGTGTCGGTATTCAACGAAGGCATAATAAGTTGTTTTAGAAGCTGCCGTATTACTGTCCCCTCAACAGTGATCCATGCAAATCGAAAAACTGTAGTTGTGGGAATGGCATCAGTTAACCACTTCATAAGAAACATTCTGACTCAGCAGTGCCGCGTCGATCACTTCAACGAGAACGTCAGGGTCCATAGAGACTTTGCTAACCGGACTTTTGGCGGCAAGAGCACTACGATATTGGCAGCGACCAGGAATCTTTTCATCATAATCATTGGGTCGACGAAAAGGCCCTGCCCGGATTCCGGGAATTCATGAAGAATTCTCTTCAAAAGTTGGAGCAGCTGCACAGAGCCGTCCTGGACGCTCTGCTCTTGGGGCTGGAAGTGGACCCCAGCGAGGCCGACTACTTCCGCTCTCTTCACGCCGGGCCCCAGAGTAAAATACGACTACTGCACTATCCAGCACTCCTCGAGTCGACCACCGATCGTCAGGCGACCACTTGGTGTTCCTCGCACACAGACTTTACGACCTTCACATTTCTCATCCAGGATCAGAATCAGGAACTGGAGGTCGAAGACTGAAGCCAGCCCCGGACGTTCCTTCCAGCCCCACGACCGAGATTGAAGACCGCATCTGGTTCACCATGGGGAGCTTTGGAGAAATATGGAGTAATGGCTACCTGCCTGCGTCTAAACATCGCGTGATGATTCTTGCCCGCCACCAGGCGTGAGTACGAGTACGAGTACGGAGAGATTCTCCATCCCGTATGTCGTGTAAATCCGAGAAGCGACGATGTGTTGGTGCCTCAGACTGTAGGGAAGCCTGCTGAGATGCCTGACGGGGAACATGAGCGGGCTACTGTCCACCAGCCCATGGGGTTTAGAATGAAGTACCAGTATGCATGGTGTAAGTCACGAGGAAAGGGACATTCATGAAACCTTAAATTTTGTTATTAGCAGTTACTCTCTTCTATTGACTATAGTCTTATATGACGGGGTCTTGTTTAATTGTGTCAATCTAGGCAAACGTGAAAAGCAAAACAGGCGCGGGGGAGTCAGTAAGAGCTCCCTTAATTTTGATTTTCAGTGTGAATACAAACAGGCAATAAAATGAATCTGGACTATGCATGCCTGTTGTCTCACCGACATGATACAGTACCTATCCACCTTCATGCGGTGAACTTGGAGAAGAGAACGCGCCTGACGAGCTCATTTGCACTCGCGCTGCAAGGGGGAGCTAGCGGCATGTTATTCAATAAGGCAGAAGGGCAAAAAGGGATTAATCGCGCAAACTCGGAGGGGGAGCAATATAATTTCCTCCTCCCTTCCCCCCCCCCCCAGTACAGATGCGTAGTACAGTCTCAATAATAGCTACATTGTTTTCAGGTCTCCCATGGATTTCCTTCCAAACTGGGATCCTGTAAAGGCATCTGTGCTGGCTGTGCTCGCGAGTGCGCTTACTGTCTGCCTCGCCATCGTTGTGGACGACTATCTCTATGGAAGGAGCATCCGAAAGCAATTGGGAGATATTCCCATAGTCGGTGTGAAGAGTGACGTTTGCTCTTTGCTGCGATGGAGGTCAACCGAGCACGATCTAGTTAACGAGACTGCTCACGCGTACCAACAGGTGAGAGTTTATGTATCTGTTGTCTCCATTCGGAACTACAATTACTCATTCGACAGTATACCAAAAATGGCTTACCTTGGGCTATAAGTACTCTTAACCGGTTCTACGGGATATGCCTCCCACCACAGTCGGCCAGGGAATGGAGCTTCCTTCCACAAGATCATCTCAGCTTCATCAAATTAGTCGAAAAGGTAAGCCCACCCCCAAGAAGCCGAGAAAGTCAGGCTAGTGACCCCTTCAGGAAAATATGTACCACCTCCACTCGGACGTGGCATCGCAGACAGTGACCAATGCCCTCATCAAATGCAATAAGAAGCCTTATCTGGGTGAGTTTCGAGGATCCTTGGGATGCGAAAATAGGGAATTCAGGGAGAGGAGTGCTAATACTTGTCTCAGATGCATTCTCCGACAAGGTCGCCAGTCAGGTCGATCAGATCATACCGTCCGCGTTTTCCGTGAGCCCCGGCGAAAAAGGTGAGTGGATGCGAGTGCAGAGGAGAGAAACCCGGACAAGTGACCAACTCAACCGCAGGATGGCAGGTGATCAATGTCTTGGAAAGAATAAGCTATATCAACTCGCGGATTATGATTGCGTGCATCATGGGCCCTGAGTTTGCATTGGACCAAAAGCTCCTTGAGCTTTACATGTCCTACCACTCTTCGATAATGTCCCATACAAGCATGTGCGTCAGATTCCCAAGAGCCGTGCATTCCCTAATCTCACGGTTTGCTCCGGCAAATCGGAAAATGAGGACAATCATGAACGAGCTCAAGAGCAGACTCATCCCTGAGATTCGCTGTCAGGTGCGTCGATTACGCTCCGAAAAGTCTGAAGATAGGTCCTGTTCGCTACTGGATGCCGTGGTCGAGGAGTGTATGGCTGAAAACACAATTGGTCGTGAGACCAGGTACTACGATGAGGAAAAGCAAATCAGCCGGATAGCTGACAAGATCATGTTCCTTCACTTTGAAACTGCTCTACCAATCACAGTGATCCTGTCTGCAATGATATACCGCATCATGGTAAATCCAGAGTGCATCGCACCTCTCCGTGAGGAGCTACAGGCAGCCCTGCCCGCGGGACAATGTACCTGTCCTGACGTGATGAACCAATGCCCCAAGCTGGAGAGCTTTATGCGTGAAACCCTGCGTCTTCACAGCTCCAGTCTATGTGCGCAATCTCCCCGCCACCCGTTCTAGCGAGACACTAACAAGCAACCAAACCTACCAGACTCCTCGAGTCGTCTTGTGATAAAACCGGTTCACATCCCTTCCCTTGGCCGCACTTTTCCCCCGGGGTCGATCCTCACGCTGCCATGGTACTGGATGGCCCGAGATCAGGATCTGTATCCAAGCCCGGAGAGGTTTGACAGCCACCGCTTTTACGATGCGTCCTCGGGGTCCTGTACTGCCCGTGTTACGACCACATCCGACAAATTTCTAGCCTTCGGATACGGCACCAGCACCTGTCCAGGTCGCTTCATGGCGAGCAGAGTCATCCAACCCGTCTTCGCCAAAATCCTCCTCGACTTCGATGTCACTTGCATGCCTGGCGGACAGGAAATTCCTTTCAATATCTTTACGAGTGCGTATTTCTTTCAAAATAGTGAAATTGAGGCGCGAATCCGGCCTCGTGCCGCGAAGATGTAGCCCTCGCCGGCCTGGCAAAGTGGACATAGCGGAACATCCTTAGTCCTGCTAGAAGCCAATCTTAGCTGATAGTCTCATTGATCTATTCTGAGGTGCTCTGAGGGGGTGTCCCTTTTTCAGCAGCACCGTACATTTGTATGTTACATGTATCAGGTAGACCGACGTAGTCCTTTAATATGGGTCTACCGAGTCTGTGGCTGATAGCCATCAAGATATCATTTCCCTTGTCCCATCCAATCTTGTGAACAGCCAATATTTTCAGCGTCGGTGAAGCTGCTCCCCAAGTAGTAGAGGTTTTAGCAAAAATTACGCCAGAATACTCTAGACAGTCCCTGGGTGGCCCAGGTAACCAATCCCCTCGGCGTATCAGAGCCCAATACAGTACAAAGGGGGTCGTGGTTGTCGCCTCTCTGAATTGCAGTTCCCTTACGCCAGTTGCCCGTGGGGACTCCGACTAACTCGTGGTCAGTTGAGACATGCATGTACTTTTTTCTAGCTGATCGCCATTAGTGCGAATAACCACTCAAGTCTCCATTGGAATGCGTCAAGGGATGGAGCAGGGGATGAAGGCAAGAATGCATATCGTTCAGTGGAACCCAGCAAATTGTATCTATCTTGCCTGGAAGGAGGGACAGCGACAGTCAGTTAGTGGCCCCTCCCCCCCTATGAATGCAAGGGGTTCCTCTTCCACGATGCGCCGTCTCAGTTGCGTGCTCCGGCCTGGTTGTCTTCGAGTATGGTCTTTGCTTATGGGTAAAAGTAAAAGCCTTTGGCCAATTTTTCTTATTCCCCTCTCTGAACATGAATCTAGTCGTCCCCGCTTCACATTGTCTCTATAAAACCATGACCATAGAAAAGGGCCTCTGCGCGGACATCGCCTGCCACTCCGAGTATCGGAGCTGGCGGTCGCTGGAGTCAAGCCTACCATGGCCCGGGAACGTTGCCAATGACCCTCAGAGCGGCCAGGCGCTTCTGGCCCTCAGTTGGATAGTCCTGCAACAGTACTACCAGCAGAGCATGTCTGGTCCCGTGGGTGTGCTCGACCTCTTGACATCCCGCAAGATGGACTACCGCTCCGCCCTCCGTGTGTTGGACATCGCTCTTGACCAGGACCGCTTCGTTTGCGAGGAATTGAAATCGATTCAGAAGCAGATCTCAGATTCCTCAATCACGGACGGTCAACCAGCGACAAATCTCCCGGCCATCCTTTCGTGTGGCTAGTATACACAATCAACTCTTCTGGCCTGGATGGAACCCAGACAGACGATGGGACAAGGCCACCCTCTCCAAAGTTGCACAGCAATGCAGAGAAGCTCGGTGTGAACGGAATACCACGGGCGGGTAGACACAGGAGCCCTCTACATCATATCATGCAAGGCCACTTTTGACAGGACATGTGATATGTCCTTGCGAATGCAATGGTCTCATGAGTAAGTGTCCGTCTTTTCCCCGTCTCCTGACTTGTTGGATATGGCCATCATGAAGACAGTATGGCCGAAGATTCAGACGCGCGGCAGGCTCGGGCAAAACGGGCTGTGCTAGCAAATTCATTGTTGTATATTGCTTTCCAGAACGTTGGTGGGCTGTGATGATGAGCCAACCTTAAAAGAGTGTCGGCTTCCGTGTATTGCGATTGTGTCTGGCGAGTTGAAAATGGGAATCATCCGTTGCTGCATTCTATCTTGCATCCAGCTTTTGGCAATGTCGCTGGCGTTGTGGCTGTGATTCTCACATGCCATGAAATCTGCTATAGTCTGGAGATATGTTTTCTTGTTCACATCCAATTGCAGTTAGTAAAAGCAAATCTCGGCATGCTGGCGGCGGCAAATATCAGGGCGCAAGGACAGGGTATATCACCATTCAGGCCAATGCAGGTGTCGCGGTATAAAGGATTAACCCAGAACGGAGAATAGTCTGTGAAACACTGATATTTCGCCATACGGCATGTACCGGGTGATGGGGTATCAGTGGGCGAGTACGCTACTTGCTTTTATATGCTTGGTACTGTCGCTTCTTCCTACATTGATGTTTGTCTGGGGGGAGGTGCGTGCGTGGAGTGCTTTCATGATTAAGATGGCTAATGATGCAAGGAGAAAACGGTCGGAGATGGTTTGAGGTAGCTATAGCGGAGAACACAATTGAACGATTGATGCAACAGTGAATAGGGTACTAAATGAATTTGCGACAATGAAGCTCGTTCTGGGGGGAGAACCACGAGTGTAGCAGATAAGTAGGAATAGCCCGAAAAATATATAAAATTTGATCGAATTGAAATGAGATTGAACTACACTAGCTAGTACTAGCGCCATACAAAAAGCCTACAAGAATAGGACCTATACTGGGACAAGTCTAGGAATGCCAATTTACTTGACATAACCAGGGTGGTACCATAGCTGAACATAAGTGAAGCCACAAAGAGACACCTGTACGGAGTACTAGACTTGATAGTTCTCCCCGGCGATGGATCTTGGACGGAAGGCGCCCCACCAGACCACAACACGGCATGAAATAGTAGCAACGCGACCAAGCAAAAAAGGAAAAGGGAAAAAAATCTGACCTACGCAGGATTCGAACCTGCAATCTCTTGATCCGTAGTCAAGCGCCTTACCATTGGGCCAGCAGGCCAATTGATACATATACCCAGACTATTAGGCTACATAATCCAAATAAAGTTAAGATCCTAACTTAAGTCAAGTCCCACCCCAACGCCATCCATCCTACCAAGCTAACCAACGACACAATGAAGCAGACGCTACAAGAATCAACCGTACTACTACTACTAGTAACTCACCGCCGGCCACCCATTTAAACGACTATACGCATCCAACGGCGTAGTCCCATTTAACTGCTCATAAAACACCCTCTCCCCACACACTTCCTCCTCTTCCTCCCCATTAGTGCTACTAGTACCAGCAGTACGAGTGACATCCTCCGCACATCTTCCCTGCAACAGCGCGGCAACATTATCCCCTGCCTCACGCCCCTCATACCACGCCCCATGCAAGAACCCGAAATAGGGGGCACTAGTCGCCTCCCCTGCGAACCAGAGTCTTTCCGTATTCGCCCGCAGATTCTGATGCATCTCGAGGGTCGTTCCCGCCGGCCAGTTGGAGTAGCTGCCGTAGACCCAGGGTTCGTTCGTCCAGCGGGGGTAAGTAAACGCTGTAGGCTCGGGTATGTCCTTGTCGGGAAACATCTCTCTCAGGACATCGAGGATTTGGTCTTTCGTTTGGGTCAGGGATTGGCGTTCGACACGGTAGGCTTGTTCGTCGACGACGGTGGCGAAGAGGATGTTTGATTCGGGGAGGAAGTTCTCCGTCGAGAGGGATTGAAAGACGGGATAGTAGCCTCTTGTTGTTGGGGAGGCGTAGAGGAAGAATTGTGTGTCTGTGGGCCAGAAGGTCTCCGGGAATTGCATGAATATCTTGGTGTAGGTACCCATGTTGAATTTTTCGATGGCGGTTTGTTTCCAGGAAGGCAGGGGTGGGTCGAAGGTCACGGCTTTGTTCTGGAGGACGCCCAGGGAGAAGGTGCAGATTGCGTAGGCGGCTCGGATGCAGGTGTTGCTGTTTTTGTTGTCCTTGGTGTGGATTGTTACGCCCCTTGGGGAGTATTCGATGCGGATGACACGGGTGTTGAGACGTAGACGGCTATCGGAGGGGTTGGCTAGGAAGGTGGCCGCTTCGTTTTCGATGATCGTGCTGTATCCGCGCGGGTCGAGGACGAGGTGGTTGGCTTTGCCGAATTGGTTGAAGGTGAGGTTTTCGCCGGCGATACCGAAGACCAGCGAGCTGGTTTCGGGCGTGTGTGCGTCTTCCCAGTCTAATTGAGGGGATATGCGTTAGTCCGGAGTAGGAGATGGGATAGGGTTGGTGTTATCCGGATGGGTGTAAAAAGGGTTGGGTGTCCCCCCTCTTAACGGTCATTGTTCATACCCCAGCTCCACCATTCCACGGCTTGTGCGGCCATGTCATTCTTGCGTGGTCTCCAGCCAGCGAGGGCGAGCCCAGTGCGTGCGGTTTGATCTTGTAGGTTCTGCGTCAGGATGCGGCCGGCATCGCGGGCAGCAGTGTGGTAGGCCTGGGCGTAGTCGTCGAGTAAATAGCGGTAGTCAGTGTAGCCGGTCTCGTTATATGTTCGGATGGAGCTGTAGTTGGAGTAAGTGTTTTTCAGATTGTACTTCTTGGCTAGTGCCCAGATTGGATTCTCGATGGCTTCGGAGCCGAGTCCTTGGAGCTGTTTTTTATGGTGAGGCGAATGTTGATCTGACAGAGTGTAGGTTATCATACCCAGTTGGCTCCTAGCTCAATCACATATGGTTTGCCCTGCTTATCCTTCCCGAAGTCGGTATGCCAGACACGACCACCTAAGGTATGGCGATATTCGAGGATAATGAAGTCGTCGATAGAAGCGTTGGACAAGGCTTGCTAGTGGTCTGGGTGAGCATTGCCGGTCGGAGTTTAGGGTAGGGGGCCTGAGGGTCACCTACTGCAGCTGCAATGCCGGCCATCCCTCCACCCCTGCCAACGTTAGACGCTAAGCTCCAGCGCGATGTTAAGTATCAGTGGGGAGCTCCTACAAGATGGCCACCGTTGTTTCGGTGCACTTGTCATCGCTAAGCGGCGCCTGTGCAACATAAGCGGAGCAGGAGAACAGAAAGGTCGTCGCTAAGAAGGCGTATAAAGAAACGGTGATGGGAATCGTATGCATGGCAGGTGAGTGACGTCTACGGAGAGCGGAAGTGGATGGTAATAGTAGTAGTATGGTATATATTCACTCAGTTCTGCATTTGACTGATTGCTTGCTATGCACTGGTAGTAGTAAGTAGAATGGCCGTGGTGAGAACGGCAACTGCTACACCAGGGAGGATAAGGGGGAGGTCAAATCAAGCCTGTAAGGACCTGGCATGGTGGGCTGGTCAGCCGGACAAGGGCCAGCTCAAATAGTAGTTAATCAGGCGTGAACCCAAAGAGGGAGGAAGCAAAAGCAAAAGCATCAAATCAATAGTGT